TATATATATATAAAACGCGATATGTTTTTCATGCGATAAAAAGTGAAAACATTACTTGAACTAATACAACGAGTCCCATCGGTTTGTCCTCACTGCTGGGAGTAGTTTGATTGCATATCACACAGTCATACTCTTTTTTACTAGTCAGTTTAGTCTCATTCTCCTCTTGATCCCAGTCCATCCCAGATGCATCTGCATCCTCTGTAAGAAAAAAATTACTTCATTAATATAACTGATTAACTAAATTCATACTTCTCTTATAGAATAGAATATTGCAAATTAAAATGTTACAATTTTTCTAAATTTTTGTAATAAGTATCTGGAGACACGATAGTGTCTCGGTGCTGAGCCAAGCGACCGTACTTTACGCGAGCCGGCGAATTGCGCCAAATTGAGATTATCGGATTTCAATAACGGATGTTACTGAGATCGATGAATTTTAAATACACTTAATATAGATTTACCGGTTTCCATCGCTTTCTCCATAAATTGTTTCTGTTTGTTAGCGAATTCCGCCATCAGCTTCTGTTGTCTTTCTTTTGCTCTTTTTCGTCGTTCCTCTCGCTCGCGATTCTCCTTTTCGCGTTGCTCATCTTCCTCGCATTCTTGCATACGAGGCCATAATTTGTTCCTAGTCTCAATGATCGTTTGTTTACATATAGGGTCTAAATCCGCGATTTTTCTAAGTAGCTGCGATATGAAGAATGGTCCATCACCAATTCGCGATTCACTAGGCAATAGTGATATAAAAGAGCTGCTGCTACTGCTACTGCTGCTGATGCTACTGCTGCTGCTGCTGCTGCTGCTGCTGCTGCTGCTGCTGCTGCTGCTGCTGCTGCTGCTGCTGCTACTGCTGCTACTACTGACTTCATTATCTGACATTGCACTTTGTTCGGGATTATAGCTGTCTGGTACACCGGATAATTGAGAATGTAATTTTAACAGCAAGGAGATTATGCTCTCTCCTACTTTTACAGATTGCGGTTGCATTGGTCCACCCTAAAAGATATATGAATATTTTATATCAATGAGATAAACTGAGTGACAAATATTAAAATATATAGTATATAATAAGAAATGAAGAAAATGTAGAATATTGCTAGTAATATATCTGTAATATATTATATTACTTGTAGCTCTCTCCTCTTAAAATGTTTGTAAGAATTTGATGTGGATGGAACAATTTCTGTGGCCCTATAATTAATCGGGTGCGCTGTGACTATTTCATTTCCGGCCAAAACTGCCGGACGTTGAGGAACGGGCGGTAAAGCTGGCTGTCCGCCGATTTCATCTAATTATTATTAAGAACATAATTAAATAAAATATCATTTATATATAAATTTTGATATACATATAATTTAACAGAATAAAATGTAGCAAAAAATGTTCAAAAGAAGATACTCCAATAAGTATGACTTTTTTCAAAAACCATCGTCATTACATTAATAATAAAACGCAGTTATAAATTATGAATTACAAAGTTTAAAAAACATACTATTTGGTGAAGGAGGCGATTCAATTGCTAGATGGATTGCCATCGATTCTTCCTCAGATGGTGGCAGAGCTCTTTGCAAAGGTATCGTTAAGTCATCTTCACTATTACTACGAGCTGGTATGGCGACAATTCCGTCTTCAGGTACAATTGCTACACCATATTCCACTATAATGATAGAACAATATTATATAACAATATTATATTTTATATAAACTATTTATAAGAAAAATAAATAGTAAATAATGTTTTGAAAAAATATGTATCAACTTTGCAATGATCTATATGAAAATATTGTTAACCACTTGTTGATGGTAATGCTGGCAGAGATGCAGCACTCTCGACTGACGGTAGCAAAGCCGGTAGAGATGATGCACTTGCATTCGACACACCATTGTCATCTCTAACGGTGTCTACAGAAAATCCCAACAATTCCAAAGAGACTTCCTCCGCGCCGTCATCTGCACCGTCATTCAACATTAAGGATGTCGCCACTTCACTCATCTCTCCATGAATCATCTCCCACTCAAATTCACCTAATAATTATTAATTTAAAAAAATTAGCAAGTGTATTAAATCATACTAAATATATTAGCATGTTAAGTCATTACTATATACATTAATTTCATCATTTTATAATATAAATGTAATTACAATATGTTATATATTATTATCAGTATCATTTCCTTATTATCAATATATTCAAAGTAAATCAATTATATAAAAAAAAGCTTACGCTGTAAAAATTTGTTAACAAACTTATAATGAATTATACTTACTGTCTGAGCTGCTATGCTCCGACTCTTGGACTAGAATCACTTGAGGTATCATTGTTCTCAGATTTTCAGACAAACTATCACTTTCGTACCATCCAGCTAAATCCATATCCTTTATCACATGAAAGCTACCACCAGTGTATTGGCATAAAGGACTCCCCTTTGGAAAATTGTATTATAGTGTAAAATAATAGACAGACAAAATTATTTTAAAAGAAATATAAAAGAATTAAAATCATATAAACAAGATAAAACACATAAATAATAATGAATTATATATTTTTTTTACTATGTAAAGTAATAACTCACATATATAAGAAAAAGATTAAATTGTTTAAAGCAACTTAAAGATTAATTATTTTATCAAAAGAATTATTTACAGATTTATCTGGCGGTTCCGCAGTAATAACTGCCATCTCTAGAAGATAAATAGCCAATGCCATAACATGTTCCGATATGTTACGTCCATTCACAGCCTTATAGAGTATTATCAAGATCATAGCATGAAAAACTTTGGAACGTAGAACTATACGAGGATCATCATAGTCCAACGAAACCGGAGCTGGTTGCCTAAATGGTGGCCAAAGAGTTGCATTATTCTTTAGCTTGCCTGATTGTTTTACACTGCAACAAAAAAATATAATATTGGTAAAAAATAGAATATCTCAAAGCACATGTGTTTTACCGATAAATTTGATACATACTATTCTGTGAAACGATCCATAGATATTTGGAAGTCTCTCCTATGAACTGCTCTCAACAGTACATGTAAAGGATCAAATAATTCTTCCCATACGCGACCCTTTGGTCCATACATACCCTGTTGCATATTGCCACTTGCTTCGAGATTTGGAGCTCTATATTGCGCTACCTATAAACACATTAAAAGAGAATCAATAATGCTATTTAAAATTTATTTACACACACACACACACACACACACACACACACACACACACACACACACACACACACACACAAATATATGAAATACAAAAAGTTGTACGTAATTGTACGATTAAGTAACATTTATATGTATATAAAAATAGAAATTAGAAATTAAAATAATTCTTTCAAATATATATGATACGTGTTCGTATATGATACGAACTTACATCAGCTAGAACAGATTCAAAGTCTCTGTTCTGAGTAGTTCCACAGCGTTCCGGCATTAGTTCCATCAATTGACTATGCGTCTTATCACTCATACATAGTAAGGTCACCATTTCAAGACGAGACATTTCGGGATCCGATAAACCTGATGTAAAAAAATATAAATGTCTTAACATAAATATCTTATTCTTACTTTAATATTTTTTTATTGTTTTCAGGATTATCAAATTTATTATTACTAAAAAAAAAGTGAAAGATTTTTAAGATAATCGCATTAAAACCGATTAGAATCGCATTAGAAATTCACCAAGATTTGTTCTGACGTTGACTAACGTAGCCAAAAACGTTAGGCAACTTTCCAACATCGGAGTATCATGCTCGCCCTCAAGATATTCATTTTGTGGGGCATGATACAGGCATAAACTCATCCATTCCACCACGTGAAATCTAAAATAAAAATAAATTTTTTTTTGTATTCTCATATATATATAGTCTAGTTATGATTTAAAGTAAGATTGTTATTGTTTAAATTTTTTAAAAAATAAATTAAAACGTTTGCATTATTGATTCGATGTAAAAAGAAAGTTTGACGTAAAAAGAAACAAGATAGAGGATATTACTTTTCGATAACAGTTTTCAGAAAGACATCTGGCATTAATTTTGTGGCACAGATTTGCAGCAGATACAGATCCGCGTCCACCATGGAGTTGCAAAAATTGCACTGTATATAGGTCATCGCTTGGCCCTTTATTTGCAATCCATTGCGAACCCATAATCCATTTAAAATCTCATAGAAGGCCACCTGAAAACAGAAATGCACAAAGAACGTTATTCATTATATTACATAGACAATCAATGTCAATAATAAAATATTATCTTGCACTGAATATTATGTAACTATTCATAAAAATTAATATATAATGTATTATTATAACTGTAATAACTTATAACTATATTGTAATATTAAGATTGCTGTAGATATTCTCATAAAACTCGTGCAAAATATCTAGTTAACCTTTATCTCTGCTGCATCAATGTCATTAAATTGTGTTTGCACTTTTTTTTTTATGGAAGATATGAATTTAATCTTTTCATATCTCGAGTAACATACAGTATATAAGCCAATTGCACAAAATTACATAAGAGCATGTCTCATAACATTCTTATATAAACATATGAACTATAAATTTAAAACCTCGTTTTATATTTGATTCATTTACTCGTGCGCAGAGGCAGCGTAACATATACTACGCAAATTAAGCATGATATAAGACTATTTTTTAGAGACGCTTACCATTGCGTTTGTTGTATCTATACAATGAAATTGAAATATATTTTTTAATAAATTCTGATGCACAAAAGTCATTAAACACTGAATCGATATATAATGAACAGTTATAATTCGCTACTCTTTTATGCACATTAAACTTTCTAGAAGAAAAATGTTTTAATCCCAGTAACACTAACAATGAGTACATTAATATATATGTGATTCTTACAACATTTTCTTTCTTCTTCTTTTATGATTTTTTTCCTTTTGTATTGAATAATTATCCCACATGATTTGTATCAGAAGACATGGTAGTGTCTCAACGCTAAGCCAAGCGCAGCGATAAAGATGTTAAATAGTTGAATGTAACTTGTTGATTTTACCGATTAATTTTTTAATTTGAGAGAGCAATTTTTAATTCTTTAAAAAAAATTTAAGAAATACTTTAAATAAAGTAGTAATTATTGTGTGAACATAAGCAGAAAAACATAAGCAGAAAACAATTTTTAGAAAGAATAAAAAAAATTAATTAGTATCTAGTCATTTAGTTCATTTTTAAATAATTTTTTTTAGCTATCAACTATCTTTCTTGCTTTTAAAATATTGTAAATTAATCTATTTTTGCAATTAATAAAAATAATAAGCTATTAAGAATATTTTATGAAAATATTTTATTGAAAATATTTTATAAATTTTTCAAGTGGCTAAAAGAAATTTTACTTTTATTTCAATATATTTTTGTAATCAAACAACTTGATTCTATAGAGCAATAGCATGTAATTAATTTACGCGACAAAAAAAATAGAATGCACTCTATTAGAAAAAACAGAATACGCTATTAGATTATTCAGAAGATATAAACCATTTTCACTAATTTTGAATTTCACGATTTCTTTTTCTTCTATTGTCATTTAAATAAATAGTCAAATCTAGATAAATAATGTCAGTGTTTTAATTGTTGTTTAATTAGCAGTTTCCAAACTGATTAATTTCAAGTCATATGTTCAAGGTTTAATGTTGTTTTAAATATTGACAAAATATATCTTCTAACATCTCCTTAAAGCCTATTCTACAGTGTGTTTTTTGTTTTCCGTTTTGTTTTTCGCTATTTTTTATATCTTGTCTTTTTGCTTCTTATTCGATTTTTGTTTTATGTCACTCGAAATAAAAGCTAACAAACTTCGGAAGAAGCAGGAAACACGTAATAAGAAATGCATTTGTGGATTAAACGGAAGTAAAGGGGAAAAAAGCAAGAAGTAAAAAGCAAGAAACAAAGAGCAACATTGTAGAATAGGCTTTAACATCCTTTTATAAACAAAAAGAGATTAGGAGATATATTTTGTCAATATTTACAAAAAACATTAAACTTTTAATTTTGATTCTCCTATATTATTTGAAATTTGTTTTCTTCATAAATATTATATAAATTTTTAAATAAACGCCTTATTATATATAATAAAAAGCGCGGATTTAAATACTGCATGGAGACACCGAATAGTTTAGCGCTGTGTTTATATCTATGTCTGATAAAATAATCTGAGATATACTTACTATTCTTTTCTCTCTTTTGATTTTTCTTTGTTAATAAATATAATAAATAGCGTAATATTTATAAA